AGATAGTTTTCACAACAAAATTCGACAAAAAATTGTTTTAATTTATCAGATATTTCAAACAAAATGGCGCAATATTTTAAATACTTTAATCATCCTTTAAATCAAAGTTTTTTTATGGTTTTAAGTGTTGATAATTGAGTACCGCTCAAGCGGGTGCTAGGGGGCGTGACGGATGTTGCACGCATTCATTATCCCTCATGTATAGACTCAATCAATTAGATAAATACAGAATCCCTAAAGAAAGCCCAACACGGCAAAATTGAAAATGTTGCAGGCTCGGTTTGATTGAGCCTGTTCATGGACGGTACTGGAAAGTGCAAGTTACCGTCCACGCCCCCTAGCACCGGCTTAAGCAGAATTCAACATTTAAACATGAAATAGTAAAATTTTGAATTTAGAAACATCCGCAGATGTGTTCATACAGCGGTTATCATGGAACCTTCAATGTGACACTTCCGTGCCATTCCATGAAAAGCGGCGTATGGTCCCCACGTAATAAAAAGCGTGTGCCCTAAACGAGAAAACAATGGGCGGAACTAAATAAAATGGAATTTTGAAAGGGGGTCAGAGGTTATGAAGCCTGCGTATCACAGATAAGACGTCAAAAGACAAATTTAAAAAGCAGGCAACATATCCTAAGGGTGATTCAACATTATTCAAGTAGGAATATTGGAACCACCCAACTAGAAAATGCCGAAAAGTTGAAACTGAAAATACCACAAGCACAACAATAATGTCTTGCTGAACGAGTCTGCAATTCTCTTGTAATTTTGTTGTCATTAATGCTTCCGAGGGATCACTTTGCTTCCAGATTTTTATATCATAAATATGATGCTCAAATGAAGATTTATCAATATTGTTAGTTCCAAAAAGCATGATTTGTAAAGATATTCACAAATTTAGATTTCATTTAGATAAATGGAGGTAATTAGAAATTTATTTTCTAGAAAGACTAAGCCAAATGCATATATTTTAATGATTACATATAATGCGTATAAACATTTGCAGTACATATTTAACATATTCTTGGACGTTTGAAAAGTTTTAGAAGAACAATTATAACAATATACAAAAATTTCACTCAAGTGCTGCAACATCCTTAATTAAAACATACATGATCTTTAACACTTTATCTGAATTAAATACAAAGTTTTCTCAGTCATATACGGTACATATTGTTGAAAATGCTATGAGAAAGTGAAATTGAAACTCCGGACAGGTGCTTGAAGTCTAGGAGGCGATTGAGACTGTTTATGCCGAATACCTTCGAATTATTGATAATACAGAAATATGAGGTGAGTGTAAAAATGAAAGACATATAGCGCCAACTTACGAGAGATTGGTTGTAATAACTGATAAATTAATTGATAACATTTTCAATATTGTCGTGTTGGGCTTTCTTTAGGGATTCTGTTTTACTATATTTTATTGTCACATCCGTGTTATTTGTGCCGTGTGGCGGCTGTAAAAAGTCTCCCCAGTACATTTTATCAATGATGTTACATTTTCGAATGAATTCTACTTGAATACTGTATAATCACCATTAGGATATGTTGTCTGCTTTTTAAATTTGTCTTTTGACGTCTTGTCTGTGATACGCAGACTTTATAACCTCAGATCCCCTTTCAAAATTCCATTTTATTTAGTTTTGCCCATTGTTTTCTCGTTTATGGCACACACATTATGTTACTTGGGGACCATACGCCGCTTTTCATGGAATGGCATTACTGTGTCACATTAAATGTTCCATGATAACCGCCGTATGAACACATCTGCGGGTGTTTCTAAATTCTAAATTTCACCATTTTCGTGTTTAAATGTTGAATTCTGCTTAAGCCGGTGCTAGGGGGCGTGGACGGTTACTTGCATTTTCCAGTACCGTCCATGAACAGGCTCAACCAAACCGAGCCTGCAACATTTTCAATATTGTCGTGTTGGGCTTTCTTTTGGGATTCTGTTTTACTATATTATATTGTATGAAATGTGCAATCAATATTATAAACAAGATCAACAAGAAAAGGCGGCGTTCAATGAACGCAACCCCCATATGACCCAGCAACAAGAACCAATGAGAAGGAGCCCAGGCGGACCCCAAACATAAAAAGGACATGGCAAAGACAGGTTAATCATTAAATGATAAATAATTTGTAACTGATTAGGAATTCAAAGAAAATAATAATAGGCCCACAAAGGGGAAGGGGACAGGAGACCGGGGGAAGGGGGGGGGGGGTAATCAAAGAAATAAAAACTAGAGGCAAAGGGGAAGATACTTACCGTAGACGAGAAAACAACAAGGGACATACGCAAAAGTGTCACCAAAACAGTATGAAACAACATAGACATACATCTGAGGAACACAGTGGGGCGCCGCCTTGGAACGGTCAGCAGCATAATAATGACTGCTGGGGAGTTTAAACCGGTTATTGGTGCACCAAACCTCGCTCTTAGCCCCACCATGTTCCTATAAACGAGACAGTGTAAATAAAATGAATCCCCGCCAAGTGAAATTCTAACAGTTGTCATGGTTACAAAAGGTTAAATAAGTAAAACACTAAAATGATCATGTAGAAACAAATGAAAAAGCCATTATCGCTCACTAACGCTCTTTTCATTCTAAAAACATAAAAACAGTACTTTTTTACAGAGGGCTACTTTAAGAAGCTCTAAAAATAGAAAATTTTCCCATCAAGGAACCATAATCACTTCTCATGAAAAGGAAGAATAATACGGTGTTGGAAAGTGTAATCACAGCTAAAGACTTATTAGCACATCTGAAATTCACTCAAATCTAATATATAGGCGTATCGTACATATGATATTCAGAACAAGTCATTTTAGTGTAGATTTTAACTTTGTTCATCTGTTGCTTTTTAACACCAATCTCGTATCATGTATAGTATATAAGTAAATGACGACATTTATCATTTCGATATTATATTGTTATAAAATTGTATAAAATCTACAAAAAAAAAATAAATAAGTTGAGACAAAGCAGTGCATTGTCAAAACTAATGCATAATTAATACTACTAGTTTTGCTTCCAATTTCACGTTAAAAGCTTAGATTTTTTTAATTTTTCATTTGCAAAGCTGGACTCGAGAAACGATTTTTTTATGATTTTACATTTTTGACCTAATAGTTAAAATCAGTGTTTTAATAGAAAGACCCTGTTTGAATGAAGAACAGGATTCTTTTTCGCAAAGTTGTAATTAAAATATATAATTATTTGATGATTGTTTCTACTTATTAATTCTAACTTTTGACTTTCCTGGCCTAGCAGTATGAACAATATGCATAATAAAGCATACTAATACAAAAATGGAAACAAAAACAGTCAAAGAGAAATATGAATTCCTATGTAAATCGAGTGAATGATAAATGTATATAGAAATACAGAATGAAACAGAAAATACATTTTACGGATTGAGTAGACAGCTTAAAATGTTTCCTTAAAGATTCTTTCCGTACATTAAATATGAAAACAACCTCTTATGCTATAAATATATTTCTATATCAGTATCAAAAAAAACACTCAATTTTCAATATTTTTGCACACATAATATGCATATGACCATGTCATAGCGGCTAGAGTTATGAACCTTGTCAGGCATGGTGTGAGTCATGACAAAGAACAATATTTTTAGTTTTAGAGTAGATACCATTCAAAATAACAAAGATAATACTTTCAAAATATAATAATTTTCAAATAAATTTCACGTTCAAAAATGAAATGATATTAATTCTGGAAAAACAGGAACTAACGTTATAAATCTTATCACATATGACAAAGGTGTTGATGATTAATATGTTTTTATTTTTAAGTTCAAGGGGGATAATTCTGAGAAAGTGTGCTTGAGTTATTAATCTTGTCACACATCTTGTGGTGATGATAAGGAACATATATTCAAGTTTGAAGTATATACCGTAAGAAATAAAGACGTTATAATAAAAATAACATTTTTAAGGAAAAAAATCTAAGTTCATGGGGGAAATATTGGTACTAGAGTAAAAGAAACAACTTGTCACATATGATGTGGTTTATGATAAGGAATATATATTTGAAGTTGATTCCTACAGAAATAAAAAATAAGAGTAAAAATAATATTCTTCAGGAATATTTTTAGTTCAAGAGTTCAAGGGGAAATAATTCTTAAAATATCGCTTCTAGAGTTATATATAAACCTTGTAACATACGATGTGATTGATGATAAGAATTTGAAACATATATTTAAGGTTTTAAGTTGATACCTTAAGATTTAAAAATGTTATAGTACATGTACTAAATATTTTTCTGCGCAAAAACTTTAGTCTGAAAACTGGACACTGAAGCCGACACCGGAGTAAGTAGGGCAGCTCTTCATATCCATATTAGTAGACCTAAACTTTGTTTTAAATGAACACAGTAAAATCAAACGTTATATTTTCCATCCTTTTAGATCGTTCAGCACAATATTATTGTTGTGTTTGGGGTACTTTAGTTATTATTTTTTTGGCATCATCTCTAAATGTTTCTAGACTATTATTCAAAACCAGAAATTTTGGAGCCATCGATCTAAATTTTATGATACCTATGTAATTATGTTCGTGCCTGGAATAATGCACGATAGACGATAGACGATATTACACTACTGTAGTGTAATAACACTTTGACGTCACGGCATTTGCGCTATAAACATAGCGTTAAAGCGCGCTAATGTTAGCGTTACACTATAGGCGCGTCAAAGAAAAATGACTTGTTAACAGTTTAAACCGTTCTTATAATATTATATATATGTGATAAATAGAATATTATATTCGTGTAGATTCAATACTAAATTTATTGAACTCGTTGAATAAAACAATATTATGCTCGCCAGAGGCTCGCAAAATATGATTTTATTCAACTCGTTCAATAAATTTAGTATTAAACCTACACTCATTCAATATCCTCTATTTATTGGTCATTGCTAAAAGCAAATATTTTTTAATTAGGTGTAGCATAATTAGGCTTTTGATAGTTTTTAAAAGCAGTCGAAAACTTCCGGCAAAAACAAACCAGCATGTTACAGAATTTTATTAAATATTTTGTATTGCATTTTAATCAGATTTACTGTTAGGAATTATATCAGTGTTTTATATCATGAAGTTTGCATATAAGGTAATTTAAAACAATGTTTTAAATATTTTGATGGGGTTTATGGGGATGACGTCTCATTAATAATTAGTTTTCGCGATGACACTGTGAAAAATGTGTAGGACATATATGTGAATTTTCAATTGAGTGCCTTGTTTAGGTAGTAATGCTGCATGTGCTAAAATTCTATACTGAACTCGATTACTTCGGGACTTAGTTTGAAGTTTGGTACTCAGGTTGGGGACCACCAAAACCGGACAACTATCAAACCCGGACGGCCCAGAAAATGCTTAATTTATTATTTTCATTGTTCAGTGGATGTCAGTCACTATTTTATCAACAATAAATACATGTTTCTTCTATTCTATTAAGTAATAAATTTATTTCAACCTCCGTAAATGGTCATATTTTAATGTCTATTTCAAGAATGTTGACGTTGAAATTTGGGCGTCAAGTAAGCAATGCCTGACCTCATATACTAGCTATAATCATTTGAAGAGTAAACAACACAATATCAAAAACTTCAGCATTTGTTGCTTAAATATCAATTGTTAAAAATAAAAAAATAAAACACTCAAGCTTTTATCTGAATTAAATCACATCATGTACATATCTGTCCGGACACATGGTACTGTAGTTTAAACAATATAGGTAATTTTGATACCCTCCTTGATGAGCCTCAGATATAAGTGTCAATACAATCAGAAATAAACAAACTAGTTTGTTAGTTAGGAGACGAACCTAGCTGTACTGTGTCAAATTTTTAGGTCTGGTTTGAAATTATGAAATCTGTATGGAAAAATGTTCAAAAAGTGTCCGGTTGATGGTCCCTGACCAGTATAAGGCTCAGTGGTGAAGTCTTAGGCTTAGATACTTTGTGTTCTTTTATTGTTTTTATTGTTGCAGTGCAGTTGAAAATATGTAATAATTGAGAACATGAAATTTGAATTGTATTTTCTATGAGTATTCTCTTTACTACAATATTCTTCCTCTGATGTAATTGACTTTAGAACTAAGAAAAAGTAGAGCATCACCTGCGCTTGGCAGTGGCTCTTGTTCTCTTAGAAATGTAGTAAAAACAAATTGAACTGGAATCTGTGTGGAGCAGTCCCTCATCACTGTGGGTTCAAATCGTGCTTGGAACTTTGCATTCTTTCATGTAGAGAAGCTATCCAGTTAGTTACTCCAGTTCCCATCTGCATGCACCTAAAATAATGCACAGATGCATTTCAAAGTTCCATTACCAGAAAAGCTAGATGGTCGCCATATGAGCAAAAACAATAAGGTCAAAACTAAAGGTATTATATCTGCTTATACAGTGTTTGTTAATGATTTCAGTTCTCCAACTTGCTAGGGAGTGTATACAGAAAAGGCAATGTACTTTTTACACCAGATGGCAGCAGTGTGCTTAGCCCAGTTGGTAACAGAGTAACTGTTTTTGATTTGAAAAAGTAAGTGATTTTTAAAGAAAACTGTAAACTTCATTTGTAACACTATATATTTTCCGGACTGCCAATGAAAATGTTTCAAATTAGGCTTTTAACTAATAGGTCCATTGTATTGATGCTTTCATTGATCTCAAGCTGAAGAAATGTTATTAACTTCTTTGTACTGTTTTGCTATACAGTATTTTTATGAACAACTTAGAACAACAGACTTTTGCCTAAATGATTTTCAATTTGGCAACTATACTGGTATGCGAGCAGTTCCCGTACAGAAGCAGTACCCGTATTTTTCATTTAAACGCTTGATTTTTACTTGCATTCTTCAAAAATTCATTTCAAATCAAGCAGATGCATAAAGGAGACAAAATCTAAGTGTCAGTTCGGCAGTACGTATAAAAAGTCTCATTTTAAATCACTTTCACCTGTGCGTTGTCAAAAAGTGACCTTGTTTTCTCTGGGGGATTCCGTCCTTGCGCGCATGCGCTAAAATACTGACACGTGAGGCCTGTTAAAGGGTTTTCCACTGATACCACCTGTTTACAGATAAGTAGGCAATGTGATGAAAACTTGTTTAATTATCAGAATTTTGGCCAATATTACAATATTAAATAATTTTATGGCTTTGATGCGTAAAAGATCATGCATACAAGCATGCTATTGCATGTGAATGCGTTGGGGTAACAGTACCGGGTAATAGATACCAGCGTTTAGTCTACGCTCTATTTCCTGAATTACATCTAGTTATCTCTTAGAAAATGCTCTGTTCAATAATTATAAATGAAAAATAGGTCCGATATAACAAACTTGTATAATTATAATGGGTTAAATTTTATGTACGGGAACTACTTCTCTTCAAACATAAATGGATAATTTCGGTACCCCATACGAGGCCTCATAACTAAGGGTTGTTCTATGTTTAGAACATCATGGAATTTCCATTATTTGTGTGACGAGCTGAATATTGATGTGTAACATTCAAATTGTTGTGAGTAAGCGTAATAAAAAATAATGTTTAACTCGCTACGATTTTTGTACGGGAACTGCTCGCATGCCAGTATATAAACATATTAATAAAAAAACAACAAAGGAAAATAAAATGTGCAAATTTCTAACAGCTATCTCTGAGTGAAAAACATGATGTTAGCAAGTGTGAATTTAATAACAGATATATATTTTTCTTTCTAGGAAGTTTTTTTATGCACATTTCTCATTTTACCTGTATAATATTTAATAGAAATTAATGTAAAGATTTTCATAAATCTTATACAGTATTCGGAGTTATTTGTCTTATTTCTATTAATTTATCACATAAACCTATTGCATGACATGTACTGGTACATGTGTGTTGTCATATTTTGAATTGATTATAGTGATTTTTTTATCCCGACAGTAACAAATCAGAGACGTTACCAATAGAGGCTCCTATGAACATTACCTGTATAGCATTATCACCAGATGGCTACACTTTTATAGCTGTAAATGAAGGTAAACTTGTGCGATACCTTTTTTTATGACATGTACACTTGATGCTTTGTGAATACAAGCAAATGAATAGTATGCTTCATTGATTCATTTCTCATATAAAAAAAATGTGGCGGGATTGCTGAGTGGTTGACGTGTTGAAGTAATAATCTAAATATTGCTACTTGGTGGGTTCAAAGCCTGTCAGGAGCAAGACTTTGTTTTTCCTTTAGCAAGAAACTTAACACTCATTGCTCAGTACTGGTTGGTTCCAGGGACAGATTCGAGAGTGGTCCTTAAGCTTCCTACATAATGGAAAAAAATGAATTCTGTAAAAACCAAATTAATTAAACAAATGTCTGACTTTTTCTAAAAGGCTAAGATTTTTCTGTTACAAAATGCAAAAGGAGCAAATCTCCAATTTTGACAAGGGACAGTTTATTCAAATTAACTGAATAAAAAATTGAAAAAATCTCAGTTATTGTGTATATTATCCTTTATACAATGTTGCTTCAAAACTGAGAATAGTCGAGCGGGCTGTCATACTGGAAGCTTTTGTTATTATAGTTGTGTATAGTGAATTGTTGTAAATAACCATTATTTGGTGTATTTCAGATGGTGAAGCTCTGTTGTGCAGTTTAATCAGTAAGACAATTCTACACAGATACCATTTCCACAGAAAAGTACATTCTATCAAGTTTAGTCCAGATGGGAGGTATGTAAACTTTGTACCCGTATAAATTACTACAATATTAAAGGAACTCCACTGAGGTCCATAGGCCTAAAAACATAAAATTTGAAAATCTTACAAATATCAAGAGAAGCACTTGAAATTGAAAACTCTGCTAAGACTAACGAAGAAATATACTCAGAATTAAAATTTAAATGAATATGAGTGCGATTCTTACCAGGATCTTAGTGATTTTGGGGTTGTTTTGTAGAATAAAAATGATTATTCTGGAAAAAACAAGTTGAGGGAATGATAAGAAAATTTGCACAAGTTATTGGTCCAGATCTTCATCAATTGGCACACAAATCTGGGAAAAATGTTTCAAGTCCTGTCATGTCAAAAAATAGCAGTGGAGTCCCTTTAAAAAAAATGAGTATACAGACCTGTATCAAAGGCCTGACACAATTAAATTTTAACTTGACAGATCTACTTATATGTATGAAGACTTGGTATTTTTGTAAGTCATGTATAGAATTTCCTTCAAAATGATACCATATGATGTCCTTTGTATACATTTTTAATGAAATTTGAAGAAGTTATTTATTTATCAAACTGTTTTGTTGGGGATTATACAACAGTGCCTGTTTATGGCTGAAACAATACACAAAGTTGCAATAGATATCTTTCTCCACTAGTAAAGCTTGTTTACAAAAAAGTGTACATGTATGTCCATATGGACATTACAGTGCCAGTATGCAGTGATTTTTTATTACTTTTTTCGCAACAACCCATACCCCTGAAAGTGTGAATTTTTAGGGCGATAATCTGTTAAATTGTGAAAAAATAAACAAGAATAAATCATCACCTGTAATCACTTTATTCATACATTTTAATAATTATATTCATAGTTTCAGCTTATATTCATAGTTTCAGCTTTCTTCTTTTTATTCCCTCAAATAAATCAATCAAATTCTCAAGATTGTCATTTGTCAGTTCATTATTTTGTTTGGTTCTGAAAAGCAATCCTGCCAATTGTGAATTTTTTACACATTTTTTTTGTTAAATTTTTATGTGTTTATGGCATTGTGAAGAGGCCTTATTTCGGGGTCAAAATCAACCAAAAAAAATCACTGGTATGTATTAAAAAGTCTAAGAATTCTATAAAAAAAATCTTTTAAAAAGATTAGGCAAAAAATATAATCCATGTAAGAAATAACAGATAAGTTAACAAATTGTCATATTAGAAAATGGTGGAAAAAAACAAAAATATTGATACATATACCTTTGCAATGATATATTTGTTGTACAAATTTCTCTAGGTGTCCTTTTCTTCTTTTCAGTAAATTTGCAGTTACTCGTGAGAATAAGGTTGTTGTTTTTCATGCACCAGGAAAGACAAGAGAATATAACCCATTTGTCCTGTACAAGACTTTCTTTGGACCCTATGATGAAACAACTTGCCTTGACTGGACAGACGACTCAAGGTAACATTTCATTTGTCAATCTAGCAGTGTCTATTCTAGGAATTCAAAAATAGGGGTGATTTTCCCCCCTCTATTTCAAAAAAAGGGGGTGATTTTCAAAATAAAGGGGTGCCAATATAAACTGCCAATGTTAAATCGTCTGCATTAAGTTTACACTGAGGCGTTTAACAGATGAAATAATTAAACGAAAATATTTATTTAAGGCAGCAGAAGTTGTCCCCCCGTAATTTTTAAACGAAAACAAATTATTATAGAACTGTCAAGATTGATTATAAAGGGATTGACAATACAAACAATCAACCTATCTTTCACGTCTAGATCGTAGCCAAGCTAGGAATTGCCTCATTTTTCTTGATTATTTACTACACTAAAATGGCGCCCAACTGTCAGACCTAGCACACTAGTTCCGGTCGGTACGGAACATTACGTTAATTTCCGTCAACTCACGTAACCAGTACTGTATGGTACTAAATTATTATGCCCCCATTTCGAAGAAAAGGGGGTATATTGCTTTGCACTTGTCGGTCCGTCGGTCTGTAGACCAAATGCTTTCCGAGTGATAACTAAAGAACCCTTAGGCCTAGGAACTTCAAACTTGGTATGGTGATTGGTCATGACCAGTAGATGACCCCTATTGATTTTGGGGTCCAGGGGTCAAAGGTCAAGGTCACATTGACCTTGTAAGCAAAAACGGTTTCCGATCAATAACTAAAGAACCTTAAGGCCTAGGAACTTCAAACTTGGTATGGTGATTGGTCATGATCAGTAGATGACCCATATTGATTATGGGGTCAAGGGGTCAAATGTCAAGGTCACATTGACATTGAAAGCAAAAACGGTTTCCGATCAATAACTAAAGAACTTTAAGGCCTAGGAACTTCAAACTTGGTATGGTGATTGGTCATGATCAGTAGATGACCCCTATTGATTTTGGGGTCAAAGGTCAAGGTCACATTGACCTCTTGGTTAAAAACGGTTTCTGATCAATAACAAAAGAACCCTTAGGCCTAGGAACTTCAAACTTGGTATGGTGATTGGTTATGACCAGCAGATGACCCCTATTGATTTTGGGGTTAAGGGGTCAAAGGTCAAGGTCACATTGACCTTGTAGGTAAAAACGGTTTCCGATCAATAACTAAAGAACCCTTAGGCCTAGGAACTTCAAACTAGGTATGGTGATTGGTCATGATCAGTAGATGACCCCTATTGATTTTGGGGTCAAAGGTCAAGGTCACATTGACCTCTTGGGTAAAAACGGTTTCTGATCAATAACAAAAGAACCCTTAGGCCTAGAAACTTCAAACTTGGTATGGTGATTGGTTATGACCAGCAGATGACCCCTATTGATTTTGGGGTTAAGGGATCAAAGGGCAAGGTCACATTGACCTTGAGGGTAAAAACGGTTTCCGATCAATAACTAAAGAACCCTTAGGCCTAGGAACTTCAAACTTGGTATGGTGATTGGTCATGACCAACAGATGACCTATTGATTTTGGGGTCAAGGGGTCAAAGGTCAAGGTCACATTGACCTTGTAGGTAAAAACGGTTTCTGATCAATAACAAAAGAACCCTTAGGCCTAGGAACTTCAAACTTGGTATGGTGATTGGTTATGACCAGCAGATGATCCCTATTGATTTTGGGGTTAAGGGGTCAAAGGTCAAGGTCACATCGACCTTGTAGGTAAAAACGGTTTCCGATCAATAACGAAAGAACCCTTAGGCCTAGGGACTTCAAACTTGATATGGTGATTGGTCATGATCAGTAGATGACCCCTTTTAGGGGTCAAAGGTCAAGGTCACATTGACCTCTTAGGTAAAAACGGTTTCCGATCAATAACTAAAGAACCCTTAGGCCTAGGAACTTCAAACTTGGTATGGTGATTGGTCAAGACCCACAGATGACCCCTATTGATATTGGGGTTAAGGGGTCAAAGGGCAAGGTCACATTGACCTTGTAGGTAAAAATGCTTTCCAATCAATAACTTAAGAACCCTTAGGCCTAGGAACTTCAAACTTGGTTTGGTGATTGGTCATGACCAGCAGATGACCTATTGTTTTTGGGGTCAAGGGGTCAAAGGTCAAGGTCACATTGACCTTGTAGGTAAAAACGGTTTCCGATCAATTAACTAAAAACTCTTAGGCCTAGGAACTTCAAACTTTGTATGATGATTGGTAGTGACCAGCAGATGACCCCTATTGAGTTTTGCGTCAAGGGGTCAAAGGTCAAGGTCACATTGACCTTGTAAGTAAAAACGGTTTCTGATCAATAACTAAAGAACGCTTAGGCCTAGGAATTTCAAACTTGGCATGGTGATTGGTCATGACCAGTAGATGACCCCTATTGATTTTGGGGTCAAGGGCTCAAAGGTCAAGGTCACATTGACTTTGTAGGTAAAAACGGTTTCCGATCAATAAATAAAGAATGCTTAGGCCTAGGAACTTCAAACTTGGCATGGTGATTGGTCATGACCAGTAGATGACCCCTATTGATTTTGGGGTCAAAGGTCAAGGTCACATTGACCTTGTAGGTAAAAACGGGTTCCGATCAATAACTAAAGAACACTTAGGCCTAGGAACTTCAAACTTGGTATGGTGATTGGTCATGACCAGCAGATGACCTATTGATTTTGGGTCAAGGGGTCAAAGGTCAAGGTCACATTGACCTTGTAGGTAAAAAACGGTTTCCGATCAATTAACTAAAAACGCTTAGGCCTAGGAACTTCAAACTTTGTATGATGATTGGTCGTGACCAGCAGATGACCCCTATTGAGTTTTGGGTCAAGGGGTCAAAGGTTAAGGTCATGACCAGTAGATACTTTATAACCCTTATTAATTGTTTGATCACTGGGTCAGAAGTCATGCATAATAACCTTATCACATGACTAATTGGCTGCTGATAGGGGGCATACATGTTTTACAAACATATCTTGTTATAATTAGCTTACAGTTACCTCCCTTCGGTTTCCGGTGTAAATGTAAACAAAACAAGCAAATATAATGCGGGATTGAAGTTTAACGATTTTATTAACTTTTTTTAATAGATGTACGATTTTCACGCACATGATTTTGAATTGTGCGCGATCTGTAAAATACTAGCGTGAATGGCGCAATCGCGCGTCCTAGAATAGACACTGGTCTAGTAGTACTTTTGTTGACATTACAGGGATTTTTTTGCTTGTTTAATGACAGATATGCAGTCATATTCCCAAATGAAAATAGTATGTTATTTTTCCAATCCACAGGAAAAAAAATTCCAAATTGAAAGTTATAAAATAAAAATAATGAATAAAAATCTACACTTCACTGTTATATATAGTGCTTAAATGTTTAAAGATGCCATTGTAGACAGTGTTTGTTTGTATTTATTTAATCACTGCAAATTTTCAGTCATGCAGGTTTTCCCAATTTTTAACAAATCATCACTGAAAATCCTAATTCCATAGGTATGTGTCATGTTCCCAAAATCCTGGGGAAAAAACCCTGAATTATCTCCCGAGTACTGAAGAAGTTTCTAAACACATTTATCAAAATATTTTTACACATATTTAGTCAAACCTTGATATTAAGTTTAGTGATTATTATTTCAAGATGACCTTTTATACATGTAATGTTTGTGTGAGGAGGTATTAACCTCCAGTGTTAATAATATTAAGCTAATGTCTGTTTTAATTTTTGTCACACTCCTCAGTCCTATTGTTTAAGTGTTTCTTATTTGATAGCCAAATGTAATTGTATTTACTAGATCTTTCCTGTCTGTTAAGAACTTTACTTAATTGCCCACTTAGTTTAATAAAGAAAACATATGATGTGTAAACTAGGGGATGCTGGTTGTATATACCCAGACGGGGCAAAATTTCTCTGTGATAGTTGATCTCGCCTATTAAGTCCATTGGTTATTTGTCTCTGTCCGCCGATTCTGAAGGAATGTGGGATTAGTAGTCTGTCACATGTCGAGAAAATGGTAATTTCTCGCTAGTTATCCAGAAAAAGCCTTTGCCATGATATTACATACTAAATGTTATGAAAATTGGCATCAAAACCAAACAAATAAACAATCATAAGAATTTACCTCACTATTATTTGTGTGTTGTATTTCATATATGAGATGAGATTTTATGCTATTATAGACGGATAATACTAGAGTAACGATATATGTGTATGCTAAAAAATGTGGCATGTTTGTAAAACATTAAAATCTTTTGAATATAATCAGTAACTGGCTTGAATGTCATTTTGGTACTTTATTTTTCAGAGTTTTCTGTGTGGGGTCAAAAGACATGAACACAAGAGTGTATGGGGCGCAACATTTTACAAATCTGATTGTCTATTCTATCGGAGGTCATAATGACGAAATAGTTGGAGCTTACTTTGAGAAAGATTCTCTCGATGTATCCTTTACCAATGTAATGTTCTGCAAAATTTTACAAAGTTTTCCTTGTGTAAAATCTAAGCATGATTTCGGTGTTAACAAAATTTCCCCACAAAAATGTCTTTGAAATCTTACCAAGGATTTCTGTGAAATCTGACCAAGAATTTCTGTGAAAGGGGCCCTTCCCTTTAATGTGGGTAAAAATTAACATAGTCATTTTAAAAACGAGGAAGAAAAAAGTCTTTTTTTTTAATTTGATTTTAGGGAGAGATTAGGGAGATTTAACTGAATTTTCTGTTGGACAAAATGGAGGAGGTGCTTTGGCAGAAATTTTACCAACAATTTCTGAAATTTTACCAACAATTTCTGTAAAATTTTACCAAGACACCTGTAAACTGCTCTCGCTACTTGTATAGAAGGTAAAAGCCCTGAGTGGGTCATTTTCAGTATTAACATTAACAATGTAGCTTGTTAATCATATCAAATTTGTATAATTTGTTCCTTTGACGTTTTCTTAACGAAAGCATAGTTATATACGATAAGTGCTAATGGTAGATTGAACATATGGGAATGTGATACTGACTTATCTGGACTGAAACCTTACGAGGCACCAAAAGGAAACCTGCCTAAAATTGAGGTCAACTCAGATGATGAAGATGAGGGGCCATATGGGGAACCTAAAAATATAAGTGAGTGAAATTATACTTAAATAAGAGGAGCCAATGGTCATTGATGGTGAATGAAGCTTTAAATGCAGATGAAGTAGTAGTATTATTCAGTAAAAGTTTAATCTGTGGCAAAACAGTTTCATTACATGGGTAAAGTGTGACAATTACTTTGATTGAAATTATTTGTTTTAAAAATTGTTTAAACCAGATAAATTTCTTTCCAAAAGTATTCCAGAATATGAACTGTGTTGTAAACAAAGTTTTAAAGTATAGAAAATTGAATTTGAGTTATAAAACTATCCATTGCTATTCAGATAGTTGTTGTTTTTTTTCTCCAATGTAATTTGAGATACAGAACTATTCATTACCATAATTAAATTTTTTCTTGTTTTTTTTTTTTTTCACAGGTAAAGAAGTAAAGTTGAGTAAAGAGGAAGAAATGAAGCAAGTTGATAAAGTGATTTATAAGAAAACCGCCAGGTAATTCATGAAATATTAAAAAATTGAATAAATTTTGGAGCTTTCAACTGCAACTTTTAAGTTTTTTGATCATCAATGATGTAATGCAGTAGTGTAGACAATGTCTTTTGTCTCTGATTAAAAAGAGTTAATGATGTTGAATATTTGATGATAGATATACATGTATTTTATTATGAATGACGATGATAAGTGATGGTTGCTATGTTGTTGATGAGAGTCATGATGATGGTGATGATGATTGATGATGATGGCGAAGGTGTTGTTCTTGGTGGTAGTTGTGTTGGTGATGATAATGTTGATGATTATTGTGATAATGATGATCATTATTTTGATAATGATAACATTGATGATAATGATGATGACTATGATAATGATGATGATTGTTTCTCCATGATTTTATGCCATGTTGATTGTTTTATGTATCAGCCTCTTAGATATAGAGGCATTTTACTGAACTTGTGCAGTTGTGTATATAGAAAATATAAATGTGATAACTGTCTAATGAAAATGGTTCTTATATACTTGTAGTATTATAATTCCCGAGGTACACATTTTTTTCTTCACAGGCATTCCTACAAAGAGGCACGAGGGGACAAGGCATCTCGAGGAACTGTTACCAGCTCAGCTTATCATAAATCAACACATATACTGGTGACCGGTTTTGATGATGGTGTCTTCTTCCTTCATGAAATGCCAGATTTTAACCTCATACATTCACTTAGGTACTGCTGAAGCTATGGCGCATTGTTGTCAATTTAAAATGATAGCTTAGGGTGTCTGAGACTGATTAGTTCAAACCACCTGCCCCTCACTCCTGTCGGTTCAAATCCCACAAGGGCATTTGGATTCTTTCACATGAGGAAGCTATGCAACTGGCTTACAGAACGTCTGTGGTTCTACTCAGTTGCTTATTTGTACCTGAAATACTGTTGAAGGGGAACCTGAGGTCATCCTCCACCAGTAAAGCTTGAAGTTTGCCAAATGACTATAACAATGTTTGGGCAATGTCAAAACCAACCCCAAAATAAATTAAACTGATAAGTTAGATTTTTTACAAGGTTTCAAACAATTAAAATCTGAATAATATAATTAATTGTTCTTGGCAGATAGAATAGCTGATATTAATAACTGAGGTTTTGAAATGTAACATATGAATATTGAAATAATATAGGGAAGAATTCAGAGCTACCTTCATTATACTGATTGGCAGTATTGTATAAATATCAATATAAACCAATAACAAATTCCTTTAATTAGCATTTCAGACAAGACTATCGCAACAGTAGATTTCAGCAAGACAGGTGACTGGATAGCATTTGGATGTTCAGGACTCGGTCAACTTCTCGTGTGGGAATGGCAGAGTGAGACATACGTGTTGAAGCAGCAAGGGCATTATAATAACATGAATTGTGTTGTGTACTCACCAGACGGACAGAACCTGGCTACAGGAGGGGATGATGGGAAGGTAAGGAGTTTGATCAGGGCAATGTGGGAAGGTAAGGGGTTTTATCAGGGCAATGTTGGAAGGTAAGAGCTTTGATCAGGGCAATGTTAAAAGGTAACGGGTTTGATCAGGGCAATGTGGGAAGGTAAGGGGTTTGATCAGGGTAATGTGGGAAGGTAAGGGGTTTGATCAGGGCAATGTGAGAAGGTAAGGGCTTTGATCAGGGTAATGTGAGAAGGTAAGGGCTTTGATCAGGGTAATGTGGGAAGGTAAGGGGTTTGATCAGGGCAATGTGGGAAGGTAAGGGGTTTGATCAGGGCAGTGTGGGAAGGTAAGGGGTTTGATCAGAGCAATGTTGGAAGGTAAGGGGTTTGATCAGAGCAATGTAGCTAAGGTAAGGGGTTTGATCAAGGCAATGTGAGAAGGTAAAGGGTGTGATCAGGGCAATGTGGGAAGGTAACGGGTTTGATCAGGGTATTGTGGGAAGGTAAGGGGTTTGATCAGGGAAATGTGGAAAGGTTAGGGGTTTGGTCAGGGAAATGTGGGAAAGTAAGGGGTTGATCAGGGTAATATGGGAAGGAAAGGGGTTTAATCAGGGAAATGTAGGAAGGTAAGGGCTTTGATCAGGAACATCTGGGAAGGTAAGGGGTTTGATCAGGGCAATGTTGGAAGGTTACAGGTTTTTGAACAGACAGCACTCATCTTTGTCAATAATGATAGAATGAAAATTGAAGAAATTTGTATACAGTATTGAATATTGAGAAATAAAATAGTTTTTCTTCATTAATATTGCAGTGGAATTTAGATTCATCAGATTCTAACATTAATTTTAATATATGTAATGTTACACCACGTTATTTAGTTATAAGTTCAGTGTTTGAAAGGGATTGGCTAGAAAGTAATTTTTGAAGTTGTCAGGTATGAACTTTACCATTTCCTCCTTTTCCTTATCAATACATAAAAACATGGCTTCATCTGTCATGGTCAACTTTTGATTTTCTTTAATATATTGAAGTAGCACGAGTGTGAAAAAAAGCACCCTATTCATTTATTTGTGGCTTAAATTGTTTTTACTGAAAAAAAGATTACAAAGTGAAATGAAGTCAAAGGTGGCTATCTGTACTTCATTGTGTTAAAATCCTATAATGTTTTTGCTATGCTGTTATTTGTTTTATCAGTCTAATGTACAAAATTCATAATGAAGAGAAGATATATGGTTTTAAGATGGTATCTGTATATATAATTATAGGTGAAGGTATGGAATACTAGTAGTGGGTTCTGTTTCGTGACATTTACGGAACATCTTGGAGGTATAACAGGCGTGGTGTTCAATCAGAACGGACAGGTGGTGCTATCCTCATCACTAGATGGCACTGTGCGGGCATTTGATCTGAACAGGTATTCTAAAATATGTTTATTTATTTTTTAATTCATGATTTGAAAAATTGCTTTCCTAACTCTACTGCTTATTTCAGCATCTGTGGGGCACTGGCCGCTGAGCTCAACAGGGAAAGCATTAGATTTGTAATCCAGGCGTCACTGGTTCAAACCTCTGGGGAGGCTCAATTTTTCTCTCAGAATTGATGTCGGACATTAAGTCTAATAGTAATTTGTTTCTCAAGGCGGTTCAGAAACATGTGGGATATTAGTAATTACTGACTTGCAGAGAAATTGGTATATGCTGGTTAGTTATGCAGGACAGTCACTTATGTGGATCAACCGCCCACCGTTGACGAAAAATGTGTTAGTCACTGCAAAAACCATACAAACAAAACAAACAAAAACCAGCATCTGAGGTGGGGCTATGGTCACTGACTTCAAAACACTTCATAACTGTGGGTGCAGATCATCTTGCCTGGAATGTTGAATTCTCTTATCTGTGAAAGTTATCCAGCTTATTTAAAGAATGTCAGTGGTTCTACTCAGATGACTGAATGTGCCCAAGGGACTTTCTCTGCCAGTTGAAAACGGAAAGTTGACAAGTGACATTTACAATGTTCATTTCCAAAACCCAGATACATGTATTATCAAAACCATTATTTTCTTTGCTAATATTTGCAAGTGCTCAACTGATCTGCTGCAACATGTGAATTTTTTTTTTCATTGGAAAAATAAATTTTTTTCAACGAAGAGATATGTTAATTATTAAACAAGAATATCTGATGTACTAAAAGTCTTTTCATATACATGTACTGAAAATTACAAGCCTTTAAACTTGTTAACTGAAATCAAAATATCTATAATGTGAAAATCTGAGAGAAAAGGTTAGATTTTAATAAGCATCATATTTCAGGTACCGAAATTTCCGCACATTCACGTCGCCCCGCCCAGCACAATTTTCATGTCTTACAATAGACCCTAGTGGAGATCTAGTGTGTGCCGGGGCTCAGGACACATTTGAAATATTTGTATGGTCAATGCAGACTGGACGGCTTCTGGAGGTTAGTCTTTCTCAAGTAATATAAATGCAAGTTAATGGTTTCACATCTAAAATTTCAAGGAGAGGCTTAGATGATTAGATAATAGACTCTGATTAGGCATTTCAAAGCTCTATTTCTTTTACACATAGAAGGATTTTTAAATATTCATTAGTTTATATCAAATTTAGTTTAGTTTGATTGTGTTGGAAGCAATAAGCTTATAGAATCGCTTTTGAATCCGTTTCTAGAACCAACCAATACTGTGCAATGAGTGTATAGTTTGTAGCTCAAGGAAACAATGGGCGCACTGATCCTTATACTACTAGCCTAACGCACTAACCACTCGGCTTTGCACAAGTGCTTTTTATAGCAACGTTTTGTGCTCAGTTACCTTACTCTTACCTCATCAAATGTCAAGGTCACATTAACAGAAACATTTTAAATTAAATTAGCCGGGTCATGACAAAACCAACATAGTGGATTTGCGACCAGCATTGATCCAGACCAGCCTGCTCCTCCGCGCAGTCTGATCAGGATCCATGCTGTTCGCTATCAGTTTCTCTACTTGTAATATTATAAAGTTTGTAAGCAAACAGCATGGATCCTGATCAGACTGCATGGATGCGCAGGCTGGTCTGGATCCATGCTGGTGGCAAACCCATTATGTTGGTTTTGTCATGACATGGCTCAAATTATTTGTATAAACATGTTTATATTGAATTAATTTTTGGACATCACCTAGATGTATAGATACCTGATTTTTGCATTACATCAATGAAATTTTACATCAATTTAAAAATATGACTTATATGGTACTTGCTGGTCATAGGTTATGTTAAGCTGAAAATAGGCTTGCTTAATTGAGATGTTGAAATCAAATCTGTGCTGTTTCCAATTTCAGGTCTTAGCTGGTCATGAAGGGCCGGTAAGCAGTCTCAGTTTTAGCCCAACAGAAACATTGCTGGCGTCCGGCTCTTGGGATAAGTCAGTCAAGTTATGGGATATATTTGATAACAAAGGTGCAAAAGAGACATTGGAGGTTTCCTCAGACGGTATGTTCTGCTTATACTTTCCTTGAAAGGATTTGTTTTATTGAGAGCTGTGTAAGAATAATGAGGAAAAAGTAGGGTTTGGACACTCGGACATGAGGTTAAGCCCTTGACAAAGCTTATATGGCTGTTTGTTTAACCCATTACTTCATATACACGCCTTTTAACGCCTTTTTCACCCCCCCCCCCCCCCTTTATGTTGTCTCAAATGATGAAAAAATGCCTTATTTAGGCCCCAAACACTTGTTTTTGTTTGAGAAATGTTGTTAAAAAAAGTGACCTCTTTTTCGACGCGGCCCCCCATCCAAAAGATACATCAGGGGGTTGCCAGAAGGGGGATGTGCCCCCTTCTGTTTGGGGGGGTTTGAAGGGGGGCGGAGTCCCCCTCATCGCCAAGAAAATTTTGGACTTGTGAGAGGCTGTAAATGACCCCAGATTGATCATAAGGTAATGTGTAACCAACGCTGAAAAGCATTTGACTCTATCTCAATCCATTGAGAAGTTGCAGCACTTTGAAATCAATTTTGATGGAAAAATCAACGCAAAATAGTGATTTTTGGAAATTTTGAGATGTCCCCTCGTTGCCATGGTAACAGAAAATTTAAGCCTGAGCATGTTGTTGCAAGGGCAATGGTCCAGTCAACATTTGTGCCAAGTTTGATTAGTGTTGAAGCAGTTTTTAAAGTATTATAGCAATTTGAACTTGTAACGGGAGACTTTTCAATGAAAACAGCCATTTTTCACAAAATGCTCATGAAGTAATGGGTTAAAGACAATGAAAAATCTCTCTTCAAACTGAGTTTTCAAATATTTACTCGAACAATCAGTTTTGTTTATGATGAATATCTTAATATATATTCCATAGCCTTTTTATACATTTGTTCAATTTTGCAAGTGATAAACGAATAGACACAAAATAGTATCATTTAATAGGTCTAATATTGTATCAAGATTAATGAAACAAGTGGGAAAAAACTTTGTGCAGAGTATTTAACATTTTAACCCTAGTATTGCTTAATTTTTCTAATGTATTTATCCAATACCAAAGTGATAAGATAAATTTTTGAAACAGAACATATCATTTGAAAAAAAAAATATGCATAAAATTTATTTTATTATTCCAGTATTAGCAGTGGCATTCCGTCCCGATGGAGGAGAGCTTGCTGTATCTACATTGAATGCCCAGATCACCTTCTGGGAGCCCCATCAGGCTAAACAGGTAGGGTCCATTGAGGGGAGACATGATATAGGATACTCAAGAAAGGAACAAGAAAAGATAACTGCTAAAAAATCGGCATTTGGAAAGTAAGCATTACACACCCATTGGTAAATCCACCATCAGAATTTATAAATGACTTTTCGTTCATAAAATGTATGGTCTTAGTTCAGTTTTTATACGCCCGTTTGAAAAACAGGACGTATTATGGGAACACCCCTGGCGGGCGGGCGGGCTGGTGGGCGGTCGGCGTCCAATTTTGTCCGGAGCATATCTCCTACATGTATGGAGGGATTTTAATGAAACTTCATAGAAAGGTTCACTACTATGAGAAGCCTTGTCGCACGCATGAAATAAGGTCTCTAGGTCAAAGGTCAAGGTCTCACTTAGAGGTCATTGAAAAATGCTTGTCCGGAGCAAAACTTCCACATGTGTAGAGGGATTTCAATATAACTTGGCACAAATGTTCACCATTGTGAGGCGGAGTGTCGCGCGCAAGATTCAGGTCCTTGCAGCCAAGGTCAAGGTCACACATAGAGGTCAAGTTCAGATAAAAATATGAAAGATGTGTATATGGACCATTTAGTCATCATTTATTGAGGGATTGTAACACAAATGGTCATTATCAAGACTATGGCTGTGATACATATAATTTAGGTCAATATATACAAGGTCAAGGTCACTAAAGATGATGAAATATCCAGATTTTGTCCTGAGCATATCTCCTACACGCATGGAGGGATTTTAATGAAATTTCATAGAAATGTTCACCATTATGAGAAGCCATGTCACGCTCATGGACTAGGTCTCTAGGTCAAAGGTCAAGGTCACACTTAGAGCTCATTGAAAAACGCTTGTCCGGAGCAAAACTTCCACATGCATAGAGGGATTTCAATATAACTTGGCACAAATGTTCACCATTGTGAGGCGGAGTGTCGCGCACAAAATTCAAATCCCTGCAGCCAAGGTCAAGGTCACACATAGAGGTCAAAGTTTAGATAAAAATATGAAGATGTGTATAGGGACGATTTAATCATCATTTATTGAGGGATTGTAACACAAATGGTCATTATCATGACTACGGCTGTGACACATGTACTTTAGGTCAATATAGGCAAGGTCAAGGTCACTAAAGATGGTGAAATATCCAGATTTTGTCTGGAGCATATCTCCTACATGTATGGAAGAATTTTTATAATACTTTATGGAAATGTTCACCACCATGATATGTATTGCTCCATGCATGATCCAGGTCTCCAGGTCAAAGGTCAAGGTCACACTTAGAGCTCATTGAAAAACGCTTGTCCGGAGCAAAACTTCTACATTCATAGGGGGATTTCAATATAACTTGGCACAAATGTTCACCATTGTGAGGCTGAGTGTCACCACCATGATATGTATTGCTCCATGCATGATCCAGGTCTCCAGGTCAAAGGTCAAGGTCACACTTAGAGCTCATTGAAAAACGCTTGTCCGGAGCAAAACTTCTACATTCATAGGGGGATTTCAATATAACTTGGCACAAATGTTCACCATTGTGAGGCTGAGTGTCGCACGCAAAATTCAGATCCCTGCGACCAAAGTCAAGGTTACACATAGAGGTCAAAGTTCAGATAAAAATTTGAAGATGTGTATAGGGACCATTTAGTCATCATTTATTGATGGATTGTAGCACAAATGGTAACTATCATGACTACAGGTGTGACACATTTAATTTAGGTTAATATTTGCAAGGTCAAGGTCACTGGAGATGATTAAATATCCAGATGTTGTCCAGAGCATACTTTCTACATGCATGGAGGAATTTTAATGTTACTTTATAGAATTGTTCACCACCATGAGACGTAGTGCCCTGCACATGAACCAAGTCTCTAGGTCAAAGGTGAAGGTCACAGTTAGAGCTCATAGAAAAACGCTTGTCTGGAGCAAAACTTCTACATGCATAGATGGATTTCAATATAATTTGGCACAAATGTTCATCATTGTGAGGCTGAGTGCCGTGCATAAAATTCAGGTCCCTGCGACCAAGGTCAAGGTCACACATCCTGTGCATATCTTCCCTACTGGATTGTTTTAAGGTTCATTTAACAACACAGTGCCAAAAATAAATACTTGCTTGCTAGATAACACTTATCCATAATGCCCCCATCTCCATCTAAAGCTTTTGTAAACGGGCGTATTTTGTGACTATGGCACCCTTGTTTTTATGCCCCCGCCATGTAATGGCCGGGGCATATAGTGTTACCCTGTTCCGTCCTTCCGTCATTCCGTCCTTCCGTCATTCTGTCATTCCGTCATCATCAGTTTCCGTTCATTATCTTAGTAACGGTTGCACATATTCAACTCAAATTTGACATATGGATATGTCATGAGAAAATACAGGTCAAGTTCGAATTTGGTCATGGTTCAACGATTTTTGGCAGAGTTATGCCCCTTTTACTTTGAAAATAATATGAAATTTTCAGTTTCCGTTCATTATCTCCCCAACGGTACAACACATTCAACTCAAATTTGACATATGGATATGTCATGACAAAATACAGGTCAAGTTCGAATTTGGTCATGGTTAAACGATTTTTGGCAGAGTTATGCCCCTTTTACTTTGAAAATAATATGAAATTTTCAGTTTCCATTCATTATCTCCCCAACTGTAGAACACATTCAAGTCAAATTTGACATATGGATATGTCATGAGAAAATACGGGTCAAGTTCGAATTTGGTGATGATTCGATGATTTTTGGCAGAGTTATGCCCCTTTTACTTTGAAAATAATATGAAATTTTCAGTTTCCGTTCATTATCTCCCCTACGGTACAACACATTCAACTCAAATTTGACATATGGATATGTCATGAGAAAATACGGGTCAAGTTCGAATTTGGTCATGATTCGATGATTTTTGGCAGAGTTATGCCCCTTTTACTTTGTAAATAATATGAAATTTTCAGTTTCCGTTCATTATCTCCCCAACGGTACAACACATTCAACTCAAATTTGACATATGGATATGTCATGAGAAAATACAGGTCAAGTTTGAATTTGGTCATGGTTCGATGATTTTTGGCAGAGTTATGCTCCTTTTACTTTGAAAATAATATGAAATTTTCAGTTTCTGTTTATTATCTCCCCAATGGTACAACACATTCAACTCAAATTTGACATATGGATATTTTTTTTGGAATGCCAAGGTCAAGTTCGAATTTGGTCATGGTTCAATAATTTTTGGCAGAGTAATGCCCTTTTCCCTTTGAAAAAAATATGAAATTTACAGTTTCTGTTCATTATCTACCCAACAGTGTTAAATATTCAACTCAAATTTGACATATGGATATGTCAAAGGAATGGGCAGGTCAAGTTGGAATTAGGTCATGGTTCGATGATTTTTTGGCAGAGTTATGTCCCTTTCACTTTGAAAATAATATAGATACATCTTAGGAATAGGCAGTTTAAGTTTGAATTTGGTCGTGGTTCAATGATTTTGGACAAACTTATCTTTCTTGAATATTGGAAAAAATTTTGAACTTTCAGTTTCAGCACTCATACTTTAGTGGAAATGTATGTAGCCATTATTTTGGCTACAAATATGAAATATGCTATTTTCAAAAGGATAAGACTGAATAATTTCAGTGCCTTGAACATTGTATGAAAATGGTTTGTGTTAACATTGAAAAGTTTTAAGGGCTTTGAACTTAAAATGAAAAAAATAATTTGTGCAAACAAATTTGGAACTAAATATAATAACATCTGAAATTTTGCCTGCATGCGGGGGCATCCGTGGCATGATGACACATTTCTAGTTTATAGAGAACTGGTCTAAAATGAGAGGAGTTCAGTCATTGGTCAATTTCAAAACTGTGCTCAGAAGCAAAATAAGAAGAGCTTAGCCATTGGTTGATTATAAGAAAACAGTACTTAGAATCAACCAATCATATTTTACATCCATATCAACACACTGGTTTACAACTAAATTAAATTGTTCTTAAGGATTATCTTATGGGTACATATTAATTCATTACTACCTTATTTCAGGGCATTTAATACTATATGTTACTCTGCTGATGGGAAATGTATATTAGCTGCTGGTAGGTCAAAGAATGTTTGTATATACTCAGTAGAGGACCAATTGATCATCAAGAAATTTGAAATCACCTGCAACATGTCATTTGATGGAATGGAGGTAAGATTTTTGTCCTTTGGTAAAATTTTAGCAAATGTAGTGATGAAAAAAACAATAATTCTGTGTTGCAGCAAGTTTTTAAAGAAATTAAACATTGGTTATGAAAATTGTTTAGAAGCTCATTTCAATCTTAGATGATCTAGTATTCTAAATTATGAATCCTTTACTGGCTTAATTTCTTTTCAAGACTTGTCCAGCTTTTGGAACTGTTTATTATTAATTTTTGTGGGTAGCAAGATGTAAATTTTAAGTGAGTCAGCCAACAGTATAGAGCCTTTTCAGACTGCACAGAATGTGTAGGCTAGCATCGATTGATACTTGTGGCAGCTCATCAGTTTTGATTCCAGCACAGAAAACATAAATTCTTTTCTAACATTGTAGGAGTTTTTGGACAAAAGAAAGATGACAGAGTTTGGTAGTCTCTCCCTGGTGGATTCTGAAGAGGGCAAAGATTTAAGTTTACCAGGTAATACTTTTTTTTAACAAACAAAAAGACAAAATACTGTAGTCAAATGATTATTTGCAACTTATTTATATTGTTTCTATTTGGCGGTGGCAATCATGCAAGGAAATAAGTTGGCACAACCAAGTTGGTGAAAAAGTTTTTTTTCATATTATATCTGGGAGTAAATGATGTGCAGCGGGTTTATTTTAATTTTATTTCATCAAGAATTATTTTTGGTATTACAAATACCAAATTAGCCATCGTTTTAGGGATGAACGTGTTTAGAAATGAAGCAAAACAGTCCATACATGTCAATAAAGAACATGTTGACCTGAATTGTGATCACAATTTATTTACCTACAAGCTAACTGCTTATCCCATTGAATGAACCTTTTATAGTTTCACTTTTTAGCTCACCTGTCACAAAGTGACAGGGTGAGCTTTTGTGATCACTTTTCGTCCGGCGTCCGGCCGTCGTCCGGCCGTCGTCCGTAAACTTTTACTTTAAATGACATCTCCTCATAAACCACTAGGCCAATTTCATCCAAACTTCACAGGAATGTTCCTTTGGTGGTCACCTTTAAAAATTGTTCAAAGAATTTAATTCCATGCAGAACTCTGGTTGCCATGGCAACCGAAAGAAAAAACTTTAAATATCTTCTTTTAAAAAACCCTAAGAGCTAGAGCTTAGATATTTGGCATGAAACATCTTCTAGTGAGTGTCTACAAAGTTTGTTCAAATAAAAGCCCTGGGGTAAAACTGGCCCCACCCCAGGGGTGTCATTGTTTTTAACTATATGTGTATAGTAAAAACTTTAAAAAATCTTCTTTTAAAAAGCCCAATGAGCTAGAACTTAGATGTTTAGCATGAAACATCTTCTTATGGTTGTCTACCAAGTTTGTTCAAATAAAAGCCCTGGGGTCAAAATTAGCCCCGCCCCAGGGGGTCATTGATTTTCCCTATATGCATATAGTAAAAACTTTAAAAATCTTCTTTTAAAGAACTCAAAGAGCTAGAGCTAAGATATTTAGCATCAATCATGTTCTAATAGGTGTCTACCAACTTTGTTCAAATAAAAGCCCTGGGGTCAAAATTGGCCCTGCCACGGGGGTCATTGATTTTCCTTATATGTGTATAGCAAAAACTTAAAATCTTCTTTGAAAAAACCCAAATAGCTAGAGTTTAGATATTAAGCATGAAACATCTTCTAGTGAGTGTCTACAAAGTTTGTTCAAATAAAAGCCCTGGGGTCAAAATTTGCCCCGTCCCGGGGATCATTGATTTTCCTTATATGTGTATAGCAAAAACTTAAAATCTTCTTTGAAAAAACCCAAATAGCTAGTGTTTAGATCTTTAAGCATGAAACATCTTCTAGTAAGTGTCTACAAAGTTTGTTCAAATAAAAGCCCTGGGGTCAAAACTGGCCCCGCCCCAGGGGTGTCATTGTTTTTAACTTCATGTGTATAGTAAAAACTTTAAAAAAAATTCTTTTAAAAAGCCCAATGAGCTAGAGCTAAGATGTTTAGCATGAAACATCTTCTTATGGGTGGGGTGGGGGGGGGGGGGGGCTATATTCAGGTGAGCGACCTCAGGGCCATCATGGCCCTCTTGTTCAAGATTATTGCAGAAAAATGCCAAAATATTGTCAATTTGACAACCACTTGGTCGTGCATATATGGGAATAGTTTATTTTGGAACATTTGGAAATAGTAGAAATAAATGCTCAAAAGTATGTTTAACGGCAGTTAAATGCGAAAATGTTAAAATGTTGGGACAGTTTAGTACCTTACAGGTACAAAAGGGAAAAGTAGGTTAAAACTGGGTATAAGTAATAGAAAGAGCATCGAAACACAAGGCTATCTGATTTGTACGTGGGGGCATAGTTAAAAATGAAATCACGTTCCCTGATGTCACAATATGAAACCCCAGAAAAAAGTACCAATGAACGAGCATCTGAATATGATATTTCTATCGCTTTCCCTTTCTCTGTTGTCACAGTAAGTAAACCCCAGAAAAAAATGGCCAATCAATGGGCATGCTCTGGAATGCGGGTAACTAATACATGTATATGTAAACAATTTAACTCTGACACATTTTCAACAGAAAGGTCCCCAAACTATGATACAATTGAAATTAACATAACTGCAATTTATTCCCAATTGAAATGTTAAAGTTGTCCTGATCCTATTGTGCAGGGAATTCATGTATTTTTTTTCACATGTATGGTTTGGAAAAATATTTATGACCTGGTGTAGTCATTGCTTAATTGTGACATCCCAAGTTTTATTAGTATTAAACTTCAACACTATATAATATTGATTGATATATTCACACAGGTGTGAAGAAGGGTGACATGTCGTCAAGACACTGGAAACCAGAAGTTCGGGTCTCTTCTGTCAGATTCTCTCCAACAGGTAAGATAAATTCTATATTTTTAGACCGTAATGTCATGTGACAGTTATCTGATGAGAATAGGGGGAGGAAAGCAGGAATCCCAGTGAATGAATTTAGTTAGTATCGAATACCTTTCCGTACAAGGTGAAATTTATATAAGGTCAAAATTAAGTTGAATAATTTTGAAATAAGTAAACCCTCTCTGTGGAGGAAACTGACTCAATTCAGTTATAAATGTAAGCTCATATTGCAAGCATTATTGTAACACAGATATATTGTTGGCCTTACATATATATTTGTGGCATTGAAAAATTGCAAAAACATTTAAAAATTAGACAAATATTTTTTTTTTGCAGACAATTTTTTTCCCAGCATATAAATGCTTAAAAGCGACTTTCTTTTTAATTGTCTTTTAAAGGAAGGGCCTGGGCTGCAACAACTACTGAAGGACTTCTCATATACTCATTAGACAGTAACCTTGTGTTTGATCCATTCGACCTTGACATTGATATTACTCCCTCCAATGTGAAGAAGACACTGGCAAAGGGAGAGCACTCTACTGCACTGATGCTGAGTTTTCGTTTGAATGAGCACAGTCTGATACAGGAAGTGCTGGAAAATATACCAGTCTCTGATGGTAAGATATGTTTTGGATTGTTTTTAGTTTGGCCCCATTAGCATTTTGCGTCACTAATATAAGCAAGAATAGATAATATATAGTTGAAAGGATGTAAGATTTTGATTTCAGTGAACTTAAGATGAATGATATTATAAGATGGATAAACTGTAATTCATAATTGTTGTATTTTTGTTTTTTTTAAAGATAGCAGTCTTACTCAAAAATGTGATTTTCAATATGTTTGATTATTTGATAAATGATTTCAGTTGAAGTGATTGTGGATAATCTACCAGACGTTTATGTCGATAAGTTGATGTCGTTTGTGGCGGGTATGATAGAATCGACAGCACACATAGAATTCTACCTGATATGGGCTAGTAGGCTTCTCATGCAGCATGGACCGAGGTTAAAGCAAAGGTCACAACAAGTCATGGCCACGCTGAGGTCAATGCAGAAAAATGTTACACGTAAATCTGAGGAGTTGGGGAAAATGTGAGTACTTCTATATGTTTGTGTATTATGTACATATTTTATTTGTTTTCTTGTTTATATCAAGTTAAGAATATTGTCTTTGTTATTGGGCAGTTGTCAAATGGCAGTGGATAATGTTGTTGAAAGTAATATAATTAAACAATACTTAAACTTCCCATCCAACCAGCTTTTAACAATGTGTCTTTGTTGTTGGATTTGATGTGACTTAGTCACTCTAACACTGGAAAGGCCATAGTTTGTCACTTTAGTGCAATAACTGATTAACTCCTATTAAATTTGTCACTAATGTGACAGTATAAGAAACCCCTTTGTGCATTGTTTCAGACATAAGAGAGTACTTGAGCTAAGCCACCGACATTTTCTATCATGCTATGGTAGCAGAGTACCATCCTGACTTGAAAAATATTAACAGGTTCTGTAGGGGGTACGAATGATCATTGATAAGGGATAAGTGATTAAAAGTCAAATGACTCTTAACCATTTGGTCATGGAGCCCCCTGTGTAAGCTCATGAAGTAAAGTAACCCACTTCTTATCTTTTTACCCTTCACTTTAGTAATTGCAAATCTAATAATAGACAAATACACTTCTTTTATATGAACAGGTCTCCAACTAGGTTTTTAAATAGTTTATTTTTTCTACTTGAATGTCAAGCTTTTATAATTAATCCAACATTGAAAATGAAAATAAAGGTAAAAAATGTAATCAAAATTATCTATTAATTTTCAGATGTGATCACAATAAATATATAGTATCCAGTATATAATTGCATTGTCCAAGGCCAAGAGAAAATTTTGTGGAGGCATCAGATAGTGTTGAAGCAGGGAATGGAGGAGTGGAACCAGCCAGTGATGATTGATGACGAAAAACAGGGAACCAGGCACAGATGATAATATAAATGGAGGGTGAATCTGAAAATGAACTCGAGTCAGATGATGAAACTTGAAAATATAGTGAAAGAGAATAAATGGTGAAATATTGACAGACTCTGATGAAGAATCTGGAAGTTCTAGTTCCCTCAATGGATGCTACATGAGGAAAGTTCTTGTAACAATGGTAGTTTGAACATGGATGTTTCGATGTGTATTCTTCTATATTTCATGATATATGAATATCACGATAATATGTTAAAGACTTAAAGGAGACTGGTTAAGCTATATTTGAAGAAAATTAAAGGATTTGTTATATGAATAGTGTTGTAACACAATCAAACTAAAATAAATTTTGTATAAACTAATATAATAAAGCATATGAATCTGAATGATAACTTTAATAAGAAACAAGCTTAGGAATGAAGATAATCAAGTCCTTTTTGATTACAAGGTGCATCACTTTTGATAGGGTTAAAATTTACTTTT